TATCATCCGTAGTCAATTACACCGTATCCGCGCCCCCGAGGCCATAAACCCTGGTAAATTACACAATATTCGCGTCCCCGAAACCATACACCCATGTAGATTAAATGATATTTGCATCCCCGAGGCCGTGAACCCTTGTATATTATACAATGTTTGCGTCCCCGACGCCATCAACTCACATCATATTCGCGTCCCCGAGGCCATGAACCCACGTAAATAATACAATGTTCGCGCCCTCGAGGCCATGCACTTTTGCACATTACACAAAATTCGCGTCCCCGAAGCCATACAACCTCGTCAAGTACACACAAGTTGCATCCTCGAGGCCACAAACCCTTGCAAATTACACAATCTTCGCGTGCCCGAAGCCATACACCTTCGTACATTACGCAATATTCGCGCCCCCGAAGCCGTAAACGCTTTCAAAAATTATGCAACATTCGTAGTTGTGAAACATTCCGCAGTTTGTGAAATCCCGACGTTGCTTCACGCCAGCGTCGAGACATCCCAGCACAGCTCTGGCAAGTCTCATTCTAAGAGAGGGGGGCCGGCGGCAGGGGCCGAAGCCCTTACGGATACTCAAGCATGGTCAGAGATGCTTGAACCATCGTCCCCAGACTATTCTTTGACCATTCTTGAACAGCCCTCCTGCAGAGGGACGCGCCCGACTGCAGCCCATGGGTTCGAAGTTTGAGGTTCTCGGGGCTCGGTTCTCGGGCCACAGCTCGGGTCTCCGGCGGCCGCTCGGGCCGACCCGGGCATCCTCCCAGAACGCCCCCACGGCCAGGAGCAGCTGCTGGAAGGCCCCCCGAGGCTGGAAAAAAACACCGCCGCGAACCGACGAAAACTCATGAAACCGAAGGGGCCCAGGGACACACAAATGAACACACACACACACAAATCCCAAGATTCCTCATATATATATATATATATATATATTTTCCCCAATCGAAACTTGCCTTTGTAGCAGTCCTAGCGGAGTCATATGGTTAGGTGAAGTGTGCCGCCGATTTCGATGGCCGGGCCGGGTGCCCGGGTGCCCGGGTTCCCAGGTGCCCGGTAGCCCTATAGTCCTATGGCCCTATATCCTTATAGCCCTATAGCCCTATAGCCCTATCGCCCTATAGCCCTATAGCCCTAATATCCCTATAGCCCAATAGCCATATAGCCCTATGGCCCTAAAGCCTTATCGCCTTACAGTCCTATAGCCTTACAGCACTATAGCCCTGTAGCCCTATAGTCCTATAGCCCTATAGCCCTATAGCTTTATCGCCCTATAGTACTATAGCCCAACAGCCCGATAGCCCCACAGCCCTATAGCATACTAGCCCTATAGCCCAATAGCCCGATAGCCACATAGCCTTATAGCCCTATAGCCCCATTGACCTATAGTCGTGAAACAATCGGATTGTTTTTTCCATAATCTTATTCCATGTTTC